GAAACGACCATCAACTGTTAATAACCTACTATACTGTTTTTGGTGAGCGCTGGACAACATTAGGAACTGTGTTTACTTTTCTTCTCCCTCACTCCAGGAGCAATAATCATTGGATGTTATATCAATTCCAATAGTAATTATCACGCATTAAGAAATCATGATCGCCTATAAGACAGTTTTCGGTGTTGACGTCTACACAAATTAAGGTTTCCTTTGTATTGAAATCAGTATCTGTGATTTTTTACGTCTATAACATTGTGGCCCGAAACATAAATAATATTTACGTCTATTGAAAACTGTATATTAAATGAACTTTCAACCGAAAATTGATATGTCAGTGTTCACGAATGGCTCAAGAATGTATTGTGGGGTAGGTGTAATAGTATTTTAGCCATATACATATATATAATTACTTTAATCGGCTGCCTGATGACGCCATAGTTTTTTAAAGTAAAGTATAAGCTTATAGGGTAGCATGTCAGTTAATCGCTAACCACATTAAGTAAAGATATAAGATTGCTAATTAAAATGACAGCTAAGCGGCAATTGAAGCACTTTAATCTTTAACTATTAAGTAAAAAATATTGGTAATAGAATGTAGGATAGATATATGTGGGTTAGATTCAATTTGTAGACATCACTTTCATATATTTTCCCAGTTAGAGGAATATGGAATGGAATGAGTAAGCATATAATTAGGCCGCCTTGGTTCTTTAATGAACATCTCCTTAGGAGTATTGGAAGGAGTCTCACTAGAGACTGCTAAATAAGGTACCTGCCTTCACTTTCTGCAGCTGGCTACTAATTTGTAAAAAGCTAATAATTTGTACCTGTCAAATATCCCGCTCAACCTGGTAATCATATAATAAGACCAGGTTCATGGAGCTTATTAACAGTGGCCGAGTTTATAGTGCTAAACTAATTGCAGTTATATCAGTATACTACCTGTGCTGTATGCTGTATTTCACTTATAACTTACTTATTCTCTTTTCTATTCGCTTACTCATTCACTCTCTTACTCACTTACTTATTCACTTACTTACTTACTTAGCTGGCCAGTGCAGACGTGTGTCTTTGGGTGCGTCCAGTAGCCTACACCAGCTAGCTCGATTAGTGACTTGCTGTCGCCAGTCGGTAGTTCTGTGTTTTCATGTCGTTGATTACTTGAACCTGCCACCGAAGATGTGTACATCCTCTATTACGTTTTTCACCAGGGAGTACCGAATCAAACACCTTTCTAGCTAAAGCATTTTCTACGATTCGCATAACCAAGTCAGCTAAGCCGCTATATTCTACTAAAGCACTAAAATATTTAAATGCCAACCTTTACTTTATGTGTGCAGAAAAGAAATATCTCTAATACAAGACTTCATAGCTGAGTAATATTAATAATCTTCTTTCATTGCCATAAACGTGCTTTCCATAGTACTTAATATTAAAAGTTGGTGTTCTAATGAAGTATTTTAGTATTAAAATAATCTACCATTGCGATTTCGTATTCTTGCCTGATGTTAAATTAGACTTTACGATTTTATATTAGTTACTTATAAAATGCCTCTTTGGCTTCATTTAACTTGGCTCTATTAGATACCATATAATCATTGACTACTCTTAGTTTTTAAGCTTTGGTTCACAATGGTATGAGGAAGAAATGTGTCTGTGCAATAATGACTTGTTTAAAGAGCTGAATTTTAATTCAAGTTACGTATAAACATACAATACGAAGTCAAATTTAACAAAAATGTCAACATTTTGTGTTTCATACTTTATAAATTACTTTTGCTTTTAACATAAGTTGTAATATTAGTTGTACAACTAATATAAAAAGCAAAAGTAAGAGTAATTTATATATATAATATATATTTTTTGCTGAAATATTTACAACAATATTTACATACAATTTAACCTATATTGTAGAGTATCCATGGGTAAAACACATATATTTACCAAAAAGTTGTAAGTGGAGCTCTCAAAAAACTTACACAAAACAGTATATGAAGCAAATAAGTGAGCAATTTACCACATCCTCGAGGCACACAAACACATCAACGTATCCATTTAATTTGACAAATTTGTTTTAATTTAAATTTTTGGATACCTAAAAAGGAGCAAAAAACACTTAAAGTACTTTAAGGGTTTGTTCGTCATTGAAATTTATTAAAACTCTCATCATGCCTCGCACATACTCAGCAATTTAGAGGCTTTTTTGTAGTAAAAGTGGAATATTTAATTTAATTTTCACTTGAATTTTCACAATTTTAAATTCATATCATTCAGAAAACCTCATTTAAATGAAGTTGAAAACTTTAGCACTTATGATAAATAAAATTTTAAATTACATATTAGCAATATTAATTTAATTTTCTATTTGCAGTGTAATTAATTAAGACTTATATATTTCTCATTTGAAAATGTTTATTTATGTTTGTAGGATATTTTCGTTTTTCTTCACATTTAACTTAACTTATTCCAATTAAATAAAGTCAATAAAATTTGCTGTTTGTTGCAACTTCTTTTGAGTACGTACGGGCGGGGTATGTTCGGATAAGTTCGTAAATTAAATATTTTCTTTATCTAATTTAAGTAGACTATATTTGCTGCTTGTGCAACTTAATATGATTCCAAGAATTCTATATACTAAATTTAAGGAAAAACTTTTTGATTGCATCTTCCTAGTTGCACTTAAAATGCAGCTTAGCTTCTAAACTTTCTTTTAGTTGCAGTTAAAGTTTTCACTCATGTGTTTGATACTTTTCGTTTGTATTTAGAATTTTAATGATACAAAGTTGTAAAATCAATTAACTAGAAAATATAACAATTTATATTTAGATAATTCATTTTTGATACTTAAATTGCATTTAAATTCAATTTTATAACATGAAATTGCGTATAAACTTTATTTTGATGTTGTTTTGTCATTGAATTTGCTCAGCAAATGTATTATTATTAGTTTTAAAATTAAATTTAATGGAAACAATCAATAATATTTTTTTTTTGTTTTGTACTTGAAATTCAATAATTTTTTTAGATAAAATTCCAATAAAAGTTGGTCAAAGTTTCCAAAAAGTACTTGAAAAAATATCTCATGAAATATTGCACTGCCTTACGAAGTCTTCGGTGCGTATGAGTAACTTTTTTTTGGTTACAATGTGGGCAAGAATTTTTTGCTTTGATTCTTGTTTTTTATTTTATTAAAAAAATTATTATTACTAAACGAAACTAAAAACCATTAAAGTTTCTTAAATTAAATTAAAATGAAATTAATCATATTCTTGTTAATATACGAGTATTTAATTAAAAATGTTGCAAACTCTTTCAAACATTTACTAAGATTTTGTTCCTGAAGACATTAATTTCAAATAAAATGTTATTCATTTTATGTTCTTGATTTAGCAACAATGACTTATCGCAAAAAGAACTATCATCTAAGGCATCATAAGGTTTGTATTAGATTTGTCATCAACAAACACCATATATCATATGATCCTCACCCTTCTTGTGCCATTTTTCCAACCCTACACCAGTTTCAATAACCCCAATGCAAAGACAATACGTCTTCCTACAAAGCTATACAAGTTATAAACTATAACTTTCCCAACCTTGCTAAAAATCTATTTAAAAACTCTTATTCCTTTTGATTTCCAATAACATATTTAATCCATTTTAATATAAATGAGTCCAAAAATATTTTTTTCGACAATCAAAGACCAAAATATCATTCAAAACGTGTGTTATAACCAATATTTATATAATAGAATATAGAGTTAGAAACCGGGGCACTTTCTCTTAATTATATATGTGAACTTGATGTCTGAGCCAACTCCCCAAATGGCTTTAAATATTTATATTACTCGTATTTAGTGCATATATCCTCATGACAATAGTAGAGAAAATTATCTTTAACAATGAGAAGACAATGTTCAGAAGGAAGTCAGTGACTTTTGTGAATACGTCAACAAATAAAATTAAGCATACGGGATAATGAAAATCAGGAAATAATAACACTTAATGTAATCGCAAGTTTTCATTCTATGTTGTGAATCTGGGTCTCGTGGCAGGCTTGCATCACACAGAAATGGTTAAAACTGCATTTTATAAATAGTAAGGTCTTAATAAGCCATGAATCAAAAACAAAATATTCGCGTAATGTTATATGATATCGCTTTTGCGAATGCCGTTGAAATTTCGATCGTAAAAGTATGTGACATAAATCGGATAGAAAGAAGTATTTAAAACGTTTAGTATTCACGAAGACTAATAACAATATCATAGGCTAATCATATATCCACCTTCGAATTGTTAGGAAGAATAAATGGCTACAAAGAGCTTTTAAGCTAAATCAAATACAGGAAAATATCATAACTGAACCATATTTTCAGTAATCTAAAGTATCACATCCTACAACTTATACTTCCGAGAAATATTGAAATGAAATAAATCATTGGAAAGAATAAATTATAGTGGGATATATAAGATATTCTAGATAGATAAGGAAAATAGGATATAAGAGTAGATTGTCAAATTTGGGTTTTCTTTGCCGATGGTTAAAAATAGATACTTTTTTCAAATATCAAAAATATAAAATATTGTATTCTATACGTGCATAGTATATGTGTATATATGTATAGTATATGATAGCGAAAACTTACCAATGAATTTCCAAGACTTGAATATAATATAAAAATATATAATATTTCATATTTATTGATTCAAATATTCTTGGCTCCACAAAATAAGTAAAATCAAGTTCAAAACTGTTTTAAATTTCATATACACATATTCTTTATTTTTATTTTAACTCTTATGCTTATTAATTATTTATGATACAAGTGCATACTTAATTTCTAAATAGTCAACATTGAGTTACGAATTTTTCTATATATAATTTACTATTTTAAGGTTTTGAATATTCATTTTATAAAATTTTATTTTTGAAATATACAAATCAGTCTTAAATTTTAATAAAAATTTAATCATTTTTCATAATAATATAATGCCTATTAATTTATTTAGCCCTCAACTATATAGTAAATTCAACAAAACTTTTAAATTGAACAGTTTTTTATGTATATTATGAACAAAAAAATTAAGATACATAAGTTTACTTACAGAATCTGATAATAAAATAAAGTATCTTTAATTACTGTGCTGAGACAAACTTTGTTCTAAATCAAATGTTGCTAAGCCAATTGTAGCTAAACAATATGTTCCTAAGCAATTTGCTGCTAAGCAAACAGTAGCTAAGCAAATTGTTGCTAAGAGAAATGTTCTATGCAAATTGCTCAGAAAATTGCTGCTAATGTTGCTTGGAAAAATAGCGCTTCACTATAATGTTGTTAATCACAATGTTGAAGTACAATATAATATTGTTAAGCAAAAGTTTCTGTTCTCAAGATATGTTGCCAACTAAATGTTATCTTACTGTATTGAAATTTCTTTCAATTGTCTCGAATTTTAATATAAATAATTTATTTAATGCTTGTGTGATAATAAATAAGTTCCCTAAAGGCTTCAAAATATTCTATTTATATTTTTATACTTTATTTTGCCTATTTTGCTATAAAAAACCATACACATATCCTAAATATTAAATTATACCAATTATGTAGAAATCACAGTTGTGCTTAATCCATTAGCATAGCTTGGATGTTTAAAAAATTTAAGTGTCTCTAGTGTTTTTAGAGTACGGCTAACTAACTCATCCTTATACTTAAAAATCGTTCTATCTTCTATTAAATTCTCGCGAAACTCTTCGCACTTCTTCTTCAGAGTTTTCACACAATCAGCACGATAATGTTGTAGTTGCGCATCAACTGTGTCGACGGGAAATGATTTGCAAACACCACCCAAGCAAGCCAAAGGGAAGTGATTGTGTAACGTCAGCACACGCTCTGGATTGTGGAAACACTTAACATATTGATTGGGTTTAGTGTAGTTCTTCGAGCGCTGCACATGCTGCAACATATGCATGTATCTTGGTATATCTTTATGCCAGCCATGTTGATGCTGATCATCATCAAAGAAGTACACATTACGAAAATTGAAACTATGATAGCCATCTGGACGTGTTGCCAATGATTTAGGCACAACTTTTGCCATTATTTCTTGCCACAGCACCATATCGCCTTTCGGCATGATAATTTCATCGATATCCAGTAAAGCAATATAATCATAAAGGTATAAATTCTTGTATAAACAATCATTGTATGGTATGAGTTCATTCTGGCGTTTGTGATTTGTTTTCTTCTTTAAATATAAATGTTGAAAACCCGGCACGTTGGGTTGTCCACCTGGAAGTGTCAATGGTGTTACTTGCACTTTTCCTTCTTGCTCATAATGGTTAAGCACTTTTGTTATATTTGGATGCACTTGTAAATTGTAAAAGTAAATTTTATCGGCACCCAAAATATTCAACATTTCAATCCATTCAATCAGACGCACTGATAAATCATCGTATAGAAAATCTAAGCCTTTCACGCACACAGCAAAACCTTTCTTTTGATCATCGGGCGGTCGATTGTATATAACTCTTAAATTATTTGTTGCTGTATCACATTGTTTTTCCACCATTGAAACAGAGCTTGGTACAACACCGTGAAATGGTTTCGGTATCTGACATGCTATCAGATAGGGTTGATATATACCCTGCTTGTAATTACCCCACTTGTTATACCAGATATATTTATATTCAAATGTCTTAACTATGAAGGGTTCCTTTTGTCCATCAAACCATAATTGACAATATGTCTTTACTTTTGGTTCAATGCGATCGATCATGCCAAGTATGCGCACTGTAGGTCCTAATAATGATCTCTTTCTTATATCATAGTAGGCACCAAATAACTGAAATGTACCATTGGATGTACGCATTGTTTGCCAATAAATATTATTGAACTCTAATTCGAATATGGATGGATATTTAGCGCAGGTTGACGATTTCTGTTGTTGTATATTTTTATTTTTACTCCAATAGGCAATGGGTAGCGATGGTATTCGGTCCTCAACATCACGTACAAGTTGCTCATCATCCATTGCTAAAAAAATATGTGTAAAATAAAAGTGGTTAAATATTTTTTTTTTACTTATTATGTGTGATAATTAGTAATAATTATTGTGATATATTGTGAATGTAATATAAGTAATAAATATGCGTATGCAAGTTGAATATATTGTTGAGTTCAAAAATTCAGAAATCTTAATTTTTTGGAAATAAGATAATATCTAGATTAACACAAATAATCTTAAAGAGTGCAAAGGAGAAAAAAATATAACTCTACTATATAAATTACTATACTATTATTTGTATTATTATTATTTATACTATATATTTAAAATACAATTTAACATATACACATATGCCGTTAAAATATCCTACCCGGCTTCTTGATAGTCTAATATATGAGTATAGTATATAGTTTGACAAGTATAGTTTATCACAAGTCTATGTTCGGTGAAGAGCTGTTAATATGGAAAACTTGAAAATTCAATAAATAATAAAAAATACTGCTTCACTGCATAAAAGATATACAGTATTGAGTTAGGTCTAAGCTGTGATGATGCATGTTGGTACATATATTAACCCATACATTTCGAGATGTCTATTTTACATTGTAATACCCTTAAAATTGTCTGGAAGATCTCCGTGGGATATTCATGTTTTATCATTTAGTCTTTGGATAAAGTTAAAATGATCGATAGCGGCTATATTATTCAGATAGACATATGATGGAATGGTCACCGTTTAACTCGCTATAGACAGTATAGATAGTACATATATACAGTAGGGTTGAGTAGCCTTCTGTAATATAGTATCGATCAAGAAAAATCAAGAAAAATTGGGGTTGTCTTTAAGTGACTAGAAAATTACTAACTGCAGGGGGTTAAATGTTACTCCCAATCATATTGTGTTTAAATAATATAACTTTCTTAAATACAATGCAAACATTTATATCAACGACTTAACATGGTTCACTTGTAAAAGTTCATTTTCTTAATAGAATCAGTTATCGGTTATTAAGAGGTTAACGCGAGATCGAAGGGGATTGAGGGAATTTTATATATACGAATGATGCGTATTTTTTTTTATAATACAACTTTTTCTAATGCATCACAAAAATCTTTTTTAATAATTAACTTTATCTCCCATATAAAAGTAATGTATTTTAGCAATGAAGCGGTTTTCTGACTCTTTAAGAACGAAATAATGACATGAGAGGGTTAATGTTTATCACTTATAATTTATATTAGTTTCTTATAATAGTAGAATTTTTCCTATTTTTTATTTATTATAACAAATTACTTACCTTTCCTATTATCGACTAAGATCTCCACTGGCTCATATTGATCGCTTGTTGTCGAAGTCATTTGCGCCAGACGCTGTGAGTCTCTTTGCAATAAAATTCTTTGGTACTGCGGTAAGTCAATATAATCTTGTGGCAGTATATTTGTACCTTGTAGTTTGAACACTCCAATTAGAACAAAGGTCCAAACACAAAGGGAGCAAACAATCTTTAAAACAGCTTTCAGATTGAACATTTTTGAAAAATTTTATCATTTTCGCTTCAGCGATCAGTTAAAAACATTAAGTATTTAAGTGTCCTCCATTGACAATATTATAAGGTATCTAGTGGCTGAAATTAAAAAAAATAATATAGTATTAAATTAGATTGTAGTTTCACGATATCATAGTTGTAAAAAATAAATAATAATTATTTTTATGAAAAATGAATTTAAAATTCATACATATATACTTTCAATATAGCTTAAATATAGCTAAGCATTTATAGCATATATATATCATATATATGATGTGAGTGAGTGACATTAACAATTTGCATGCAAAAAATTAAGTGGATTGCTTAGTAATGAGGCACGACTGTTAAAAAAGTTAATGTTAAATTAAAAACTCAACAAAAAAAAAATTAACGAGAATGTATCTTAAATTTATTATTTGAAATTAAAAAAAAAACCAGCACACGCCACGCTTGCGCCAAAATAATATTCAAAAATGTTGCCAGTCGTAAATAAAATCATAAAACACCAAATGTCAAAATGACCCAAATTCATTAAAAACAACATAAAATGCAAATTTAAAAAAAATAATTAAAATATATTTGCTCTTGTAGTTTTGTTATTTATTTCCAACTATCGCTAATAAATTAGTTTCATTTTAAAAAGTAATACCACATACGAGTATATCAATCGAAAATACTTCCTCCTTGTTTATTCTAATAAGCTGCATCGAAACTCGTCTTTGGTACAATTTATCGAATATAGTATATATAAATAATTTCTAATTTTTTGCTTAATTTTAATTAATTAATTCTGGACAACTCAAAAACGTAACTGTTTTTTATTTGTGCAAAAATATTTTACTAAGCAGTTGGCATTCATAAACAAGTTTTACTTTCAATCGAAGTTCATTAAATGGAAACCTAAAGGCATTCTATTTTAGATTAAAATAGTTTCTGGGTCACATAGTCACATATGCAAAAGTTTTAATATATTTTTTAATTACTTGTATATATGTATATAAAGCACAAATATATATTTGCATTTCAAATTGAATATATAAACCACATTTCAGTCAATGAAGTAATTTAACTGGTTTTGCTAGCCAAACTGTTCTAGTTCGGATCATTGATCTTTAAAGAGCCTGGACTTTGTATTGCAACGGATTTTGAAGTATGAAAAACCACATGTGCTTGTGGTATATTAAGAATAACTGATTTTGTGAGTGTTTTGTCTAAACATGACTTTCAGTCTAAAGCTGCCCAAACCAAAACCACTTTGGCTTGAGGAAACACTTAAACACTCTTGAGCAGCTTAAATAATGACTTTAAACTTTAAATACTTTGAGCTGGCGCTTTATTTACTGGTTTTCAATTTATTTCAGTGGTAAGATATGCAATCGAAGAAGTAATATAGCTCTCATATTACATTGCATTGTATTTAAGATATTAAAATTATTTTTACATTATATGGAAAACAATTAATTTGGAAATTAATATGGAAAAAAGGTTACTCTAACTTTAAAAAGACCGATTTATTACTGTGACGAATATTTTAAAATGACCATAAAAGAATATTAGCCAAAAATAATAGCAGTCTCCCACGTTATACTTTGGAGAATTAGTTTATATGTGAAAGGTTTCCAAAATTTTGTAGTTCTTAACGTTCACTTTAAAGAAAAAACATCGATCCAATGGGTGAGAAATGACATAGAGATGAACTAATTTAATACTTATGGACTTCTAATTATGATTTGTTAGTATTTCCCGTTTCAGAATTGAGCCCTAAAAAAATTATGTGGTGATAAATGCAAGAGAAAGTTACTAGTACATACTAACAAATGTAATCAAAATTAGATTGTATGTTCTATTTTGACTTATTTTTTTTACTAAAATAATATTAAAAATCTTATTTAAATTAGGTTAGGTTATACCGGTGACCGCTAGGGGATTCACTTAGGCCTATTGGCCCATTGTGCTACCGTATAATAAGGAAACTAGAGTTTAAAACCACCTACAATATTTGACAAACTTAGAATGCTCTTTAGTGGAAGGTCTTGTAATTGATCAAGATCCTCAAGGATGGGGGCCCCTAACGTGTTGAGTCGCCGCCGTGCATAATCCATGCAAAGAAAAAGTAAATGCACTTTTATCGTCTTCCCCACAGCTGCGACAAGTATGATTGAAAGGAAGATTCAATCTACTAGCATCTTATTTAATCTCGATTAAATAATTTAAACAAATTTTTAATCAAACAATCAAAATGTTCTCAAACTATAATGATATTATTAGCGATGATACTTAGGTTCTCGCCAATACGAACGACATTGTCATTATTGTGAAATAAGCAAATAGCTAAAAACCATATTCCAAAAGTTTAAAGAGTTTTTAGAAGTCAGAATTGACATAGATTGCTTAAGTACTTATAAACCTCGAGCTGGGATTTGTCAATATTACCCATATTATATTTAAAAATTTGACATACTAAAGAAGTTGACACCTTAATTACTAGCTGTATCTTCCTGTATTTTAGATTAATATCTCTATATTCCTGTTTGTTTTGTATTTTCCTTTAAGTATCTATATGTATCTATATCTCAGTACTAAAAAAAGCTTGATATGGATATATTGATTGAATATATAGTGAGGTTTAGATATTTATAAATTAAAAGTCATGAAAACTTAAAGTTTACACATTTCTAGTTAATCATAAATTAAAAATGTGAGTATTGTTCGCTTAACCTTCACTCCTTTATGATTAAATCTAAACATTCCATCTGTTTATTTTTTTTTCAATTCACTTTATTTTCTGTGCATTTTGAAGCAGATTACTTCGGTACACAATACATTTTCATTTAGCATATTTGCGAAAATTGCAAATACTCGAAAATTTAAATTGAAAAAGAGTGAAAGGAAGTAAGAAAAATTTTCTTATTCAAAAGATGAATTTCCAAGATGAGGAAATTCAATTTTGAGGCAGAATTTTCAATAGCACGAGTTATATCTAGACTTTTTGTTATCAGTATCCATACTGGATATTGGCATCTTTATCTATGAGAAATCGACAATATGCTCATTTAAATGCTGAGCTGTTTACAGTCGCTTTATGCCGATGCCACAGTCGATGAATAAAATGCTCCAAATTGGCTTCGCAACCCATCACTAATGCAAGTCACGTAAATATTGGAAGCGTAAGGAAGCAGTAGTACTAAGCTCACAGTTATAAGTTGCAGATTATTGTCAATAGTAACTGAAGCAGATGTAGACGTAGACGTATACGTAGCTGTAGATGTAGACGTGGGAACATAAGCCAAAACCAAGCCAATGAAGGAAGAGGAAAATGCTACTTGCCGCATTGCATGATATTTGACTGCAATTATAATAAAAATGCAAAGTAATAACGCATCGTACGTTACGTCGAACAATGATTGTCAATTGATGATCGACAAAATGGATAACATTCGATATTTGACTATTGTCAATAAAAAGAAAATATGCAATATTAGAAATATGGATGTACTGTGAGTACTTCGGAAGTAGTTTCAAAGATGATGTGGGTTGCAATCCAATTGAGTTTTTATTAAATAATAGTTTGTGAACAAATTGAAAGCAGAAAATTATATGTTGTATTAATAATTTTAATCAATTTGTAGTATTTTGTAATACACCTTACAATTACTTAAGTAAATGTTGTAATGTCAGTTGAATTTTCAATATTCTATTAAGCCGATTAAATAATAATTGCTCTTTTAAATAAATAAAATTAGAGCATTTGCATGTAAATATTAGGATACTTGAATAATGGAAGTGTCATAATTATGTTTAATAAAATTAATAAAACCGAATTACACAATAAATCAATGTTTATTAAATTAAACTGGCTTGGTTGTATTAAACCACTACCCTTTATGACTTATAATAGCAGTTGATAGGCCATCTATTGTTTATAATTATAAGTTGGAAGAGTTCGAATAGAAAAGTAAAGACAAACACAAAAATTTAGTTAATTTATTAAAATTTGGCTGACTAAGTAATATTTGACAATACTCGGAACAGCGTTGTATGTTAGGAAAGACAGTGTAGAGCCTATTTTTCCTAACCTTAAATCCTTATGTTCCATGAAATACCATCTAGGAGGGTTCCTAGATGTTACATCCGCTTGTGCATCAGTGTCGGGCATTCCCCTAGAGTACATGGTATACAGTTTCTCTCTCTTCTCTACGTATCTGCAGTCTGAGTTGGATTGAGTTCCTAACTTTGTTAGGTGATTATTCAATCTACTGCGACCGATTACTATTTCTGTAATAAATCTTAAGTTATTTTTTGTTTGTTCTGTGCAATCCTTGAAGCACGTTGCATGACCCTTAAAGCATTTTAGATTGTGATAGTCTTGGTAACCCTTTCCAATATAGTACTCTTTCCTTTTCCTCTGTGCCGTTTATAAGAAAGTATAGAGTTTCTTTCCCTAGACCACAGAAGGGTTGTGGGCTTATCATCATTGCAGCCATGTCTCTTCTTGCAAGTTTATCTGCCACTTCATTGCTTTGGATTCCAGCATGCCCCTGAATCCATATTAAGTGCACCTGACTGTTTCAGCCAATTATGTTCAGCTTGTCTATGTTTATGACATGATAGACAATATTGCAATTTTACGGTTCCGGTAGTTAAGTTCAAGGTTGAACCTGGCACAATTATCTATCAAGTATATTTCCGCTTGAAAAATGGTACCATTTCTTCTCAGTATTTCTGAGTATCTGTTGCCTGGTCCATATACACCAGCTCCAACTCTATCACTGGTGAGAGTCGTCCGAATACCAAGTTATCAGATTTTTCCTTATTATTTGGGTTTTAGGCAATTTCCAATTCTTTTTGTATCCAAGCTCAGTTTTAAAGTTTTTTGTAAAGTTATATCTTACAATCATCCTGTCTGTTGGCATTTTAGTTTCTGAGATTTGTTTTGCAAGAATATCAAGCTTCTTACTGCTGGGCCCATGACACGTCATCTTGTTTGTAATTAGTTTTAGAGCAGCCCTCTTCGCTTGTGTTTGCACATGAACGAAAAGAGGTGTAAGTTTGAGAAATATTTCCATTGATGACGTAGGACACGTTCGCATTGCTTCTGTTATACTTACTTATACATACGTTAGCTATTAAAATAAAAATTTCAGTAATTATAATCAATAATTAATTTTTTGATACGAACTACTCGTTAGATTCGAGACTCGCATTAACAATGCTTCTGTGCGGTTCCAAATTTTCCATTGTGGTTACTCTTATTAGGAGGAAATGTGGAGTCTTAAGGGCTTTCTTAGCTTGTTAAGGAAGATTCTAAGGTTTAACTAACTAACTAACTACTCGTTAGCTTCAGAAACTAGTTTCAGTGCTACATAACATTGTAAATTCATAATGTTACGGGACATACTCATACTCGTATGTTACACTGTAAAAAATAGCATGGTGCAAAGTTTGGCACTAAATTTTATCTTATCGAATGACTTGTTTGTAATTTTTATGGAATTTATTGATCATAAAAAGATTTTTCTTTGTGAGATTTGTTAATATATCATTGTCATATTTTATATTTCTATTGTTTCATTAGTAAATGTAAAATCTGATGAAATTTGTGGAACAATTTGTTAGCATTAAAAATAAGCCACTTTAAATGTTCCGTATAGGAATTGTTTTTTTTTTATTATAGATTTTGTAAAAAGTCTTCTTTTGCTGTTTTATTATTTTTATTGTTATTTTTTCTAAATTGTTTGTTTACATTTGCTGTGGCCTGTCAGTTTTTGTTGTTGTGGTAATCCGTCTCGAGAATCGTAAATAATACTTAATCGCTTCTAATTCGAAGCAAAAAATTTGCCTTAACTACAGACGCCACAGTACTCCACAGCACAGAGGGGCGGAAGTCGTACTGTGCATATGCTTTGTTTTTGTGGGGCATATTTTCCGGGTATTATTCCTGATCCATGACACTTGTTGGTTTTATTTCGCTTCTCATTGTTTCATATTTCTGCTATTATTTTTCATTTTCATAATATTTATTTGGTACGCTTTGTTGCATTTTGTATCTGAAGCTTAACTATTTTTCATTTTAGAAAAGTGACAGTCTTGCTTCTAGTTTTTAACTATTTTTATACTTTTTCCGTTTGCCGTCTTCTACTTCTGCGAAGTAATTTTGTGTAAGTTCTGCTAACTGAGTATGTCTTTATCTGCTGCTGCTGCTGCTGCTGCTGCTGCTGCTATTGCTACTGTAGTTGCTTCTACTGCTTTTGTCATAATTTATATTGTATTCGCTTCATTTTTTTCTAGTATTCGGTATTCTATACTTTTGTTCATTACGGTTTGGATTACAGTTTTTCATTTTGATTAATTACTTCTCGTGGTAATATTTTCTGGCTTGTCAGTTATTTTTTCCTTTTCCCCGAAATATATCAAATTGACTTGGCAAGAATGATTCTATACACCATAGCTTCTAGTTAGGTTTCTTTGCGAATACTAACGTTCTTTTTTTTTTGCCCTTATCTACTTTAACTTAATATATTGTATATAATGGTTGTTGGTCCGTTTATATAAATGATATATTTGCTTCGTAATACAATCAATTAGTACCTTAATAGTACATATCATGTTAATACTGAAATCTTTTTCCTTTGCCTATGTACGTTATTTTGTTATTGTAAATTTTTGAATAAAAAATTATTAAATAACTTAAAAATTTTGTACGAACTTTTTGTTAAAGGTCTTGGGTGCATAGAATTTCATTATATTATCATAAAGCATTATTTTCCTCTTAATGCGTAAAACTTTTACTTTGAGATGATGAACTGCTTTTCTGGCAAATCCAGAGAAAATACAAGGTAGACAAGGCAAAACATAAATTGCTTTATTGTTTTAGCAAATAGTTAAGTGCTGAGTATCTACAAATATTAAATACCTCAAAACTTGGTCAGTAACTTTTTGATTTCATGCTGCAGTTCACTTTGCATACTTCATACTTTCATACCTTCTGCTTTACTATATAAGAGATCCAAGAAAAAAATATTTAAAAGTTTTTTTCAAGAAAATTATTTGAAGCAATTTGAAGTTTGTAAAGTTTGCTTTAAAAGTTGTTTTTGATAAAATATTGTAATTAAAAAACTGAAAATAATAAAATTCTATAGAGTTGAAAAACATTATTATATTGTATTGCCATTTGAATAAATATTTTGTTTACATTTGTTAACCTTTCATACAAATGAATCAAAAATAAATAAATCATTTAATATAAAACTTTTTTGGGTACTTACTTATATTGTCCATAAATTTTAGCAAAATGTTATTATCTGTAAAGAAAACACACTTAAGTACTTTGTTATAATAGTAAAAATAAAATAGTTAAATAGTTAAGAAAATATAAAATACATCTTATTTTATTATTTGTAGTAAAGTAAAATCTTTAATAGTTTAACAATGAGTTAAAATGTCTTAAATATTTTGAACCACAAGTTATTGTTATAAAATTTGAATGGAAATTATTTATCAAATTTTAAATTTTTATACAATAGTTTAATTTCAGTTTAAAAATAGAAAACTTAAACTTGGCAGCATAAAGATAAGATAGCAAAAGAATATTAGCAAGACATCTCACTAAAAACAGGGTTTAACTAAGGCAGGCTGTAATATTACAGGAAGGTTACAAGTAACGCTTAATTATTTAATGACTTTAGGTAGGTTAAATTAGCTTAGAGTGCGGGCGTTGCACATCAAAGTCTATTTGAACGCAAGAAATGGTCTGATGTGATACCACAAATAAAAATATTGCCAGCCCAACATCACCAAAATATGTCTACGGCCCAAAACATTTCAATTGGGCAACATAAAGACAAAATAGCAGAGAGTATCAGCAAGACATCTCACAATTATAACAGGATTTACATAGACAAGCTGTAATATTGCAGAAAAGTTTGATCACTTCATAATTTTAGATAAGGTGTTTTAGGTTGGAGTCTACTTGAACACAAGTAATGGTTTAATTTGATACTGGTATAAAAAATATTGCTTCTACGTCAGTCCAAGAAGACCAAAACAGGTATTAGAAACAAAGTGATCTCATTCATTAAAGTTAAAGATTCACTGGTTAAAAAAGCTGATAAATCAAAAATTATCTTAAAACCTTAAACTTTTAATAAATTAAAAATATTTCAGTGAATTTCCCAAGACAAAGGATTGTAATTACTAATTTCTTGTCTAAATCACTGCGTTATAACAATTACTAGGTGTCTTTTTATTGAGCATTGCCAACTGAAAGAAAGTGAGCTTACTAACATTATGATGGTTAGGAATAATCTTTTTTGCGTGAAAAAAACAATTGCATATAATTCATATAAACAAAATAAAGTTACTTCACTAAAGGTTAGTTAGTTTGTTACTTAGAAACTAGAGACGTCGTTGATCGCGTCCAATAGCCTCTCGACTAGCTCGATTAGTGGCTTGCTGTCGCCAGTTGGTAATACAGAGTATTCTCATATCGTTGGGCTCCTGATGCTTTCATCAAAGATGTGCATTTTCTACATTAGGTACACGCAGCAAAAGAGTTTAGTTGATTTAATCAGATTTTAACTAAATCTCAGGTATTCTTCTAAAATATTCTTACTCAACGCATCATGTTCGTTCAATCATATCATATGATGGTTTTAATATCTTCTTTACCACATGAGCTAAAATATTTCTAACAAAATGATTAGGTCAATTTAACTAGTATATGGTTAGAGCGTATTTTTCTGAGTGTACCGACTCAAACATTTTTCCTGTTTGAACATTTTCATCCATTCTTACGACAGTACCAAGTCAGTTGAGTTGCTAAATTTCTTATATGATTAACTTTATCAATATCGGAAGCTTATACAGTTTAACATTCTATTTAATTCGACACCAAAGAAATTCTCTTTCGAAAGGCAAATAGATAGGTAAAATCAAAAGATCTCTCAAAAAGTGGAATTAACTATTTCGGCTTATCAAACTAAAATTATAAAGATACGTAGAATCTAAGTGCTTCCAGCTTTCGATAAAGGTTTATAGATTTATGGTGCACAAGGTCCTTCACTTCGCACTAAGTATATAAAGTAATATGAACTTGCATTTTGTTAATATATATTTTAAAGGTATTTCTACGATGTACTTCCGTTTCCTTTGTTTGAATCTCAGTTCGTTTATTTTTGTACTGCATTATTAAATATGTTATATATTTCAACAATAAGTAATTCACCAGCTTAAATTATTTTCAACCAGTTTCTTTTACAAAGTATATACCATTTAACCTTTCAGTTTCTTTGTCTATATTTATTCCATAGGTGTTGTTTAGTTTAAAATCAAGGTCAAAAATGGTTACTTAATAGTATTTTATCGTTCTGGAAAAATTGTATACGTGTTTATAAATTATTCATTGTAGTGTTCACGTGTTTAAGTTCGGATAAAGACTAGCTTATATTTATTTAATTACAATTTACAAACTAGCTTAAACATAATTCAACGCCACTCTCTTATGTTGTACTCTTATATAAAGCTTATTCAATTTATATAAAAGCATATATTTTGCATTCATAATATGGGATTGATTATTAATAACTAAGTTATACATATAGAAGGAATCGTTGAAATCAGGAAGGTATGTTGATTGAAGTTTTTTGATTTTTAAACATTATTTATCCTCCCACAAAGCATTTTATAACCTCAAATAAGTCTCAATTCAGCCATGGCACAGCAATAAGAATATTCGTAACAATATATTTAAGGCAACTGAAACCAATTTTACTAAAGCATAGTGCTTATATATGTATCCACATATATAGTCAAGCAGAAATTTCGCATTGACATTTTGAAGGTTCTCTTCGACAGTTTTGTTAAACTGCAGTGATATGTTACACCAATGCTTTACTGGGACAATGGATAATGCTTTACTGGGTGCCTAGTCACACTGGAATCAATGGGAATGAGTTAACAAAGAATCTTGCATGTACTAAATCAGATAGACCATAGCTCTATTGTCGTATAAGTGATTTATAATCGATTTAAATCGCTATTAACGCCACATCCTACATAACTGTAGGTTTAACAACTGGTTAGCGCGTAAAATTACGGCAACGCACTCCTTTTCAGTAGAACAGAACTGAAGTTCTTGTTGGGTTATTTTACTGGCATTATCGTATTAACCAAATGGATCTATCTGAGACAACAGAAAGTCAACACTGCTTGTAATTACTAGAGATCTTTAGTAACATTCTTTGTGACTGTCCGGTTTGATTTAGTCCAGTTTGAGACATACTGCCTCATTTGTTGTTAGGTTGTTGTTAGCAGCAGATATTATGACTTTCATTCGAAGAGTTAAATGTCTTCTGTTTAGTAATGTTTGATTAGTTTAGCCATGGACGTTGGGATCTGCTTTACTGGGAGCAAGTGTTCTGTTCATTTTCATTATAAATGTATGAAACCTTTCAGATGATTATAATTAATGAAAAATCCTTAATGTCTGCAGTTTAGTAATGGTCGATTAGCAGGACATACCATAAGTTTAGTCATGGACGCAGTGTTCTGCACGACTGGGAGCTAGTGTCCTGTTTCTTTTCTATTTCATTCTATGAAATCTTTAATATGATTATAATTAAAAGAAAAACATCATGGTGTCTATTTTACAAAAAATTTCATTAAATATGAAAATCACCTTCACTTAATTGCATATTTACGCTTCTAAAAAGCAATTCATATTATTCGAGAGCTTCAAAAACACATAAATAAGTTGTAAGTAACAAAATTTATATGCAACGACTTCTTTGACATTATGCAAGCAGTTATATCTATTTCGTATTATTTTATTGTTTATGTATTGTTTATAACCATTTTTAGCTTGAACATTAATATTACGGTGACATTTCCACTAAAAAGTCAACAACATGATACAAGTCTGAGCAAAATTTTTATATACCAAAGTTGATGGCATGCAGCATTATTATTTATTACGAAGTCAAACTCAGTAGATTTGTCTACTGAAAACTTAAACTTAAATAAGTCGTACAAAGAGCAACTGATGTAGTATTTATGGTATCTTCAAAATATATCTCTCAAGCATTCTTAAAAAAAATAAATGAATTATCTTAAGAAATATAATGAATGAACTGTTTGACATAATTAAAAATTTTCCCACACTGACTTAAAATTTTCTTTTAATAAACTTCTATAGAATTCGCAAATTAAATTCTCAGTTTAATAATTTTTTTGCTTTATCTTCTTAACATTTTTTTTAATATGCTTTTTAATTTAACAATTTCCTGCAGATAAATGGCAAAGCCACACAAAGTTTATGGGTTATTGAACTCTTGAATACTTTGGGAAGATACATGATGAATGTGTTATGTAGATAAATTTGAAAATATGAGAGTCTGAAGAGAAAGCCTAATTTAAGTTTGGCTGTTAGCATATGTTGTAGTTTTGTGGCTTCAAAACCAACTCATTAAAGACAAAATCGTGTTCGTCTGCTGTCTACGCCCATGATTAGAACTAAGTTTTACCAACTGAACAGCACTTCGAGAAAAAAAAAATTAGTATTAGTTTTTAAAAGCAACCGGAGAACACGAATTAGCAAAAGCTTACTAAATTCTAACGAAACATTTCTTAAAGCCAAACATGCAAAGTACATAAAATACTACTAAATGAAATTGCAATGCATGAAGAAGAAGAAAATTTTTCATATAAGCGCAGCTTAACCACAGCAGCAACAATTTTGCATGTGCTTTATAGTTGAACCAAAAAAAAAAAAAAAATTGAAATTTCACCTTTAATTTTCAGAGTGCACCAAATAAGAAAATAAAAACTAAAAACAAGATGCGACCAGGTTAAGACCAAGTTAAAACCAGCTGAACATGTTTCCTACAGATACAAAATTGTATGCATTAACTGCAACAACAACAACACCACTACCAACAGCAGCAGCAGCAGCAACAACAACAACAACAACAATAATAATAATGATGCTACGTTAGAAACAACAACGATAGTAAGAGCAATTGCATTAGTAGTAACTAGAAAACAACTTCAAAATACCAATGTCGTTACCATCGAAAACCGCAAACGTCCGAATTGTAAAACGTTTGCAGCCACAAACATTTGTAGATACTCCATGCGACTCTCCATGCGATTCTCCATGCGTGTTTGCATTTCGCAGTTGCTGATTAGCCAGACATTTTCCATTTACAGATCCGAGTACATCGTACATCGTACATTGTATCTATATATATATCGTTGTTGTTGGATGCTTTGGTTTTTGCTCATATTTTTCTTAACTAAACTTGAAC